TTATCATCACTAATAAGACACACAATGTTATCTCTAGTTATGCATACATTATCATCACTAATTAGGCACACATTGTTATCTCTAGTTATGCATAACATTGTTACCACACTGGTTCAGTTCACTTACTTGTTGTGTTTTGGTATATGCATGCCCATTAGCAGCTTTTCACTGAATAAAAAAAAAACATTAGATAACACCGTAAACATTTGACAATACAAAGTAATTAAAATCAGCAGATACTACTATATATGAAACACATGTGTATGAATACCAGTCAATGTAACATGTTCACTTTATTGAGTTCTTTAATCAGGTATGAGTAAATACAAAGAGAAAACTAGAAATATTACTCAGTTTAAACTGGTTTTCAATTTACATAGAATTTTGGTGAAGACAGATTTTACTAGTACCTCAACACTATGAATGTTGAGAGGGAAACTGGAGGAAAATGAGCAACTTGATTCTAAAGAGACAATCTGTAGGTACAACATACCTCAAAATTTGAGGTACAAATTTCTTCTTCATCTGCATTGCCATGTCAACCAGCCATTGATAATACACAAGGCTAAGATTATTGGAGTACAACAGGTGCATGTAGACGCTTGTGTTGGTCAGAAATGGCTGAAAATTAACCATTGAATTTTTTTTTAATTTCATAAAAAAAACCAAATAATTCAAGGGTAATGGGAAATTATGTCCATTTCGTTGAAAATTATGAATAAACACATAAAAATGTTTCAAAAAAATTATTGCAATCAAGTGAATGAATCGATCTATTACCCTGTATGCTGTCAGTAAAGGTGAGAACTCCGTAATGAAAACAGTACTGAGAGTACAACAACACAGTCGAATCCTGGGAATCTATATAAAGATATCATGAAATCATTAATTATTTATTTCTGGACAGTAACTTTACATATTAAATGATGTCAACATTTCTCAAAGGTTTCCCATAATCTCAGTAAAATACACAAATCTGATTTCTGATTGGGAGTGCCAAGAAAACATGCGTCCAATCAAACCAAAAATAAGAATCTACCCAAGGTATAGCAGTGATGATATGGCAGAATAAACAACCCTTACAAATTTAGATAGTGCATGTATATAATGAAAATAACAAACATCAACAATGAGTCATTTAACAACTTTCCAAAAAAATTATATGTCTGACATTAATTTCATTATTATTCATCAGATATCTTAAAATTTCCCAGTATCAAACAATACCTTATTAAGAAATGTGAATTCCGAATGACCAGCAATATTTCAATGATGGCAGACATGTTTCAATAGGAGGTTTATATTTGGCGAGAAAATTCCATTTATTTTTTAGGTTCCAATACCAGTACCAAGTGTTCAAGAATTCAAAGACGTATAATTAAATAATTAGATTATTATAAAGATAGTGTACTCATAGAATGTTACATATCACTTGATAATCCCGCTGCATGTAATTCAGACATACATACCATTTTGTAAACTTTCAAATGAGCATTGAGAATCTCAACTTTGACGCCGACTCTCATTCCTCTACCTTGGTTTGGACATGGTTGATAACCAATATATAACCTACATGAATACATAATGGTTTGGACATGATTGATAACCAATATATAACCTACATGAAATATAATGGTTTGGACAAGGTTGATAACCAATATATAACCTACATGAAAATATAATGGTTTGGACAGGGTTGGAAACCAATATATAACCTACATGAAATATAATGGTTTGGACAAGGTTGATAACCAATATATAACCTACATGAAAATATAATGATTTGGACAGGGTTGATAACCAATATATAACCTACATGAAATATAATGGTTTGGACAGGGTTGATAACCAATATATAACCTACATGAAATATAATGGTTTGGACAGGGTTGATAACCAATATATAACATACATGAAATATAATGATTTGGACAGGGTTGATAACCAATATATAACCTACATGAAATATAATGATTTGGACAGGGTTGATAACCAATATATAACCTACATGAAAATATATTGATTTGGACAGGGTTGGAAACCAATATATAACCTACATGAAATATACTGGTTTGGACAGGGTTGATAACCAATATATAATCTACATGAAAATATAATGATTTGGACAGGGTTGATAACCAATATATAACCTACATGAAATATAATGGTTTGGACAGGGTTGATAACCGATATATAAACTGCATGAAATATAATGGTTTGGACAGGGTTGATAACCAATATATAACCTACATGAAATATACTGGTTTGGGGACAGGGTTGATAACCAATATATAACCTACATGAAATATAATGGTTTGGACAGGGTTGATAACCAATATATAACCTACATGAAATATAATGGTTTGGACAAGGTTGATAACCAATATATAACCTACATGAAAATATAATGGTTTGGACAGGGTTGGAAACCAATATATAACCTACATGAAATATATTGGTTTGGACAAGGTTGATAACCAATATATAACCTACATGAAAATATAATGATTTGGACAGGGTTGATAACCAATATATAACCTACATGAAATATAATGATTTGGACAGGGTTGATAACCAATATATAATCTACATGAAAATATAATGATTTGGACAGGGTTGATAACCAATATATAACCTACATGAAATATAATGGTTTGGACAGGGTTGATAACCAATATATAAACTGCATGAAATATAATGGTTTGGACAGGGTTGATAACCAATATATAACCTACATGAAATATACTGGTTTGGACAGGGTTGATAACCAATATATAACCTACATGAAATATAATGGTTTGGACAGGGTTGATAACCAATATATAACCTACATGAAATATAATGGTTTGGACAAGGTTGATAACCAATATATAACCTACATGAAAATATAATGGTTTGGACAGGGTTGGAAACCAATATATAACCTACATGAAATATAATGGTTTGGACAAGGTTGATAACCAATATATAACCTACATGAAAATATAATGATTTGGACAGGGTTGATAACCAATATATAACCTATATGAAATATAATGGTTTGGACAGGGTTAATAACCAATATATAACCTACATGAAATATAATGGTTTGGACAGGGTTAATAACCAATATATAACCTACATGAAATATAATGGTTTGGACAGGGTTGATAACCAATATATACATAAAGCCATTCATTTACACCTACCGCACTTTACTGTCAAGGTCATACACACCAGCCTCAGAATTAACCACTTCTGTAATGGTTCCCTGAAAGACAAATACAATTACTAATACTTTTGACTAGTGACTTTAACTGTGCAGTGCAGATTTACTGGGCAATTTCAGATTCTGTATTCTGGGAATCCAGTGTAAATATCTCCACCAGCATCACATAATTGGCTGTAATTAAGTGGTGTGTTAACTGACGTACATTAGTAGTGTTTATATGCACCCTTTACATGCAACTTACATCAAGGGTGTTCGACAAGGCACATCTATGTAACCGCTGATATACAACATTCTGAATATATTAATATGTGACCTACCAAATATGATCAGACTTGACAATTAAATTGATATACTTTAGTTTCAGAGTCAATATGTCATGTCATGTCATGTCATGGGTTGGACCAATTTTATGGGGGGGGGGATAGGGGTGATGCTTTATTTTTTATTTCCACATCCAGATGCCCATGAATGTGAATTATCCTGCCCTTATTCACTTTACATCAGTAAAATGATACTTACTTTATATGAACACAATGATTCCCGCTGTACACTTCCACTAACACTACTAGTATGACTGTAGGACGGGCCTGGCGACTCACTATCACCATGACTACAAGGTGGTGGATCACTATGACATTCTGTAATTTTATCATCACATGGTGTATCTGTATTTGGAACATCAATATTTCCTTTACACAAATACCTAGTTTCCAATCTCTGTGGATGACAAAAATAAGTGTTTAAAACCAGATTGGTTTACATTGCACTTATGTAAGATGTTGTCTACAAATTACTTATAAAAGTTGTGTAAACTTGCAATACTGCAATTGGCACTGCTCTCATACAGGTCTATTGCCATGACAACATTTAATACAGACACACCTCCTATGAAATGAACTGTCCAAAACACCTCAAGCACGATTCAAAAATATCAGCCAACAGAGCTAGGTGATATTGCTTTATTCAAAAAATGTTTTATGATATTTAGCTGTAACTACAGCCATAATTAAACTTTTGTCTTCGTATTACCTTAATCGTAATTTCTTTGCAGTCTTCTTTACGTATCTTATAAAACTTTGTCTTATTTGTTGCCGCAAATACAGAGTACGCATTATTGCTACCCTGAAATATGTCAACAAGAACATTAAGCGTCAATCTTACTATAAGAATAATAACTTGTTAGCAAAGTTGGCAGTGCATTTGTTGAGTAGGCAGCCATACATATCAAGCTCACAACATTCTGTGTGTGTGTGGTACAAACATGCAATAATGCATTCATTTACGGGTGCCTCAAAAGTGAATCTGAGGGCGAGTTGTGAGGGCACGCAGAAGTCATAACACTGATGTCTGCAGGTTGATCTGCAGGTACATTCTGAGGGCACACAGAAGCCACACAAATCAAGTCTGTGTGTACTGTCAATTCTTTTCTACGTTATCGTTATGAAGTAAGCCAAGGACCAAAAAAATGCAGTTTTGAAAAGTGACATCATTCATATTTTTGAATGCATCAAAATAAAATAAACAAACATAAGTTGTACGCCACTTATTTGACTGTAGCTAAATCATCTCTGCTGACATGTTTGATTA